AGGTTCATAGTTTCCTTGAAACTTCTTACAAAATCACAAGATTTATAAAAATTGTGAATGAGACATCATTAGTAATTGTCAGCATCTGTAAGGGTCACTGGTTTCTGTGACTTGTCTTAACTACATTACTCAATGTTTTCACTTTTTTTCTCCCTCTTCACAGTGTAGCTCAGGCTGACTTCAAACTCTCTGTGATCCTCCCGCCTCAGCCTCGGGAGTGCTGGGATCACAGACGTGCTCACCTGCCCTTTAATGCAAATGGGCCCCAGGGGTGCGGGCTGATGAGAACGCAGTGAAAGTGGGGTCACCGCATCCCTCGCAGGTGTGAGCTCCACAGCCCCACAGTAGACCCCGGATCTGCCCCCTGCTCCTCGAGTGGGTGCTCTTTGTCCCCTGTGCCTACCGGGCTGCTCTAGGTAACTCACAGGTCCCTGCCCTGCCCCGGCGCCGCCCACTGCTTCACCCCGGCCCACCCATCTCCGCGGAAGTCACCTCTTCACAGGTGACTCATCTGTCCCTCCCCAGCGGGACTCAGAGCGGGCCTTGTCTGTTTTCCTGCCCGGCTCCGCAAGGCCCCAGTCCGCAGCCAGCAGCATGTGGGGAACAGCGGTCGCTGCCCCTCACTCCCGGGCTCAGGTCTTGTGGGCCCGCAGGATTCTGTCCGCGCCCACGGCTCTGAGTGACAGGCGGTGCAGACATCAGCAGACCTGCGGGCTGCCAGTTCCTTAGGGACGTGGCCGCGTCGCTCAGAGCCCTGGGACCCGTCTGTCTCAGCCTCTGCACAGCCTACTGACTCCTGTTCCACCTTCCGGAAGTGACTGAAAGAGCCAATAAAAAGCCAGGCCTGGTGGTGCGTGCCTGTGACCCCAGCTACTCGGGAGGCTGAGGCAGGAGAATCGCAAGCTTGAGGCCAGCATGGAGAGTGTTACTTAACTTCTCTGTTCTATAATTAGCTCATCTGTGAAATAGGGGTGATCACAGTACTGACCGCACAGGGGCGCTGTGAGGAGCAAATGGATTAATTATAAAGCCCAGACCGGCTGCTGGGTGAGCGCTCGTTTGCACAATAATAGATTTGTGTGTTGAGATTCCACCCTGGGACCCCAGGCCTTTAGTGGGCCGGTAGGTGGTCTCCGGGAACCGAAAGGACCTAGTGAAATTCCTCCGGGATCCACAAGAGGGCGCCCTCACCCCTCCGCCCGGCGGACCCGGACTTGCTTCGCCCTTTACCACAGTCCAGGTCACAAGGGTGTGACGACGGCTGACGCCGCTGCCCAGGGATGGGCAGCAACTCGTATAGAAACCGGGCATGGTGGCGCACGCCTGTCACGCCGGCGCTCCGGAGGCTGAGGCAGGAAGATCGCCGCGAGTGACTGGTCAGCCTGGGCTACAAGGCGAGGCCCTGTCTCCGAGCGGCACTGACCGCCGCCTAGCGTTCCAGCTGGGGCAGCAGAGAGCCCAGAGTGGAATCTAAGGCTCCTGTCATTCTCCTAAACATGGGGTCCAGAGAGAAAGGGTGGCCCCACCGCCAGCCCCTGAAACAGCCCCCGCGAATCGGCCCTGGCGCCCCAATTCCGGCGCCCTGCGTGGGGGTCCTCTGAGCGGCTCAAGCAGGGGACAAGGCGCGAGCACAGGAAAGGAAAAGGGGGGGTGGCGGGCAGATATCCATCCGTCTCTTCCTCCTCTTCCTCCTTTTTTCTTTTTCTTCCTTGTTTTCGGTAGTGGGGATCGAACTCAGGACCCTGCACTTGCCAGGCAGGCCCAGCACCACTGAGCTGCAATCCCGGCTTTTTTTTTTTTTTTTTTTTTTTTTTTTTTTTTTTTTTT